TCTCTCTATGAATATCTCTCCTTGTCTCTTGCTATGTTGTGTGCTTGGTTCTCGGCGCCAGGACATGGCCGGGCAGCTGCTGTGCGAGTGCTTGTGTGCTGGCTGGCTGTACCATGTTTGCTGCGGAACAGGAAATGAGCACCTGCTGCTTATTTATATTTTCCGCTCACTTGAATGTAAAATTACATAATATTTTTTCGTTTCTTTTTGCTGCTCGCACTGATGCTGCTGCTGCTGCTGCTGCTTGCTGCTTGCCGCTTGCTGCTTGCCACTTGTGCTAGCCTGGAAATTTTTGTGTGAAAATTCTTCTAGTGGAACATTTGAAGACAGCTGGCTGCAGAGCCAGAGATTCATGTTTGCCGTTTAAAGAATCGTCGCTGGTGCGTCTTCTTAATTGCGAGTTTTGTTTTAAAAATTTAAAAGGCATTCAAGCTGTAGCTTAAAGTTCTGGTAAGGATAACAAAGATGCAAGTAAATATGTAGGTTCAACTACATGAGACTATACGATATACTAATTATAAAAAATATTTAAAAATTGTACAACCCTGAGGTTAAGTAAGCCAATTTGTTGCCAAATTGTAATTCTTTTCGATGCGTTGAAGAGGTCAGCAGAGTTATAAAGCATATCTGGTTGCATCGTTCGGAATATTAGTTAACTATTTGTTCAAAAATGTTTGCATACCACCGACATGAAATGGTTTTTGCAAGTAACAAACCGCTGCATAAAAAGTTCACTATTTGTTGGGGCTGTTCTGGTTGCAATGTGGCAACCGCAATGTACGTGGAGCTGGGACAGGCGGTGAGTGCTGAGTGCTGGCCAAATCCTCATATGTGAGATGTTTATGGTAGTGTTGGTTTTGTTTTTGTTGGCCACGCGAATCGCCAAATGTTTTGTTGCTGTTGCTGTTGCCGTTGCCGTTGCCGTCCGCATAAATTGTTGCCGCTTTTGAGTTTAAGCCAACAGTTTGTTTGTTGGTCAGCCAGCACTTCTCTTTCGCACGGAGTGCTCAATGTGCCCGCTAGTTAATTGCTGTTGCTGTTTAGAGTTGTTGTTGTTGCTGTTGCTGCTACATGATTGCACTTATTGGTCAGCAACATAATCAAATGTGCAACTTTTTGGAGCAAGTTACAACCGCATGAAAGTTTAATTAGAAATCTCACATGCTTTACAGCATGCCACATGCCACATGTACATGTGCATGTGCATGTGCATGAGCCTGTGCATTTGCAGCACTTAATATGGCTGTTGCCTCGCTCATGCCGGGCATGCAGGGCATGCAGGGCGTATGCGTAGTGTGCCCTTTTTTGAAACTAGAGTTGCAAATGTAATAAGGCAGAGACGTGGCCCGAACTCAACTTAAGCCAAAACTAATTTGAACTCATAATTAAGCCACTTGCAACTTGGCAGCTTTTATGCATTTTCTAGCATTTTTGCTGCTTGCCCCCTAATCAGGGTTTCTTCTTCTACTACTGTTGAGCCCGCCCCCGGCCGTACTGCCTCATTAAAATAACAGCGAGGTGCAAGCGGGGCAACAACAGCAACAACTATACAAACAAACCACTCTCACCTTACAGCTGTAAGAAAATTGCATATAATTCTTGTACATGTAATCCTTGGACACCCGCCCAGCCCCAGCCCCATCCCCAGCTAACGCGGCTCGAATGCATGGAAATGCAGCTGAAGCTAAAGGCGCTAACTTAATTTTCCTGCGAGAATAATTGCAGCCGGCTCTGACGAGTTGTTGGCAAAACTTTTGTTGGCTTAATTGAGGGCATCATTATTTGGGTAACAGAGAAGAGGCCAAGCGAATGCCTTTCAAGGCAGAGTTGAAGCCAAAGGCATCTCTCTTGGGATATCTTTTTTTCCAGTTATCCCTAATTATGAGCAAACTTTAAGCTGACTTTTGCTTTAAGCACTAAGATACCAACCCCTCTATATACAGCCCCCACCAAGAGCCTGTTGTGTTTAACGTTTCATTTAATATTTAGCCAAATTTACTCGGTCACATAAATCAATGCCAAACAACATGCCTTGGGGTATGTGCTGTGTCCCATATGAATACTCAAGTGTCTCGGCTCTGTTGCTCGTCGTCGTCGAGCAACAAATGGGACAAATTTCCATTTCAAGCCAATGCCGCATAAATGGCACATAATTTACGATATGAACAACGGAGAAGCAGAAGCAGCAGCAGCAGGAACAGCAACAGAAGCAGCTAACCAAACATGCAGCTAACTATCCAAAAAGCTGGTAACAATATTAGTTAGCATGAGGGGCAGAAACAACAAGGGCAACACCAACAGCAACACCAACAGCAACACCAACAACGACAGAATCAGAGAGTAAAGTTTACATTTGTATTGGTGCTGGGTGTTGGGAATACCCGCACCCGATGCTGGCCGGCGTCAATGTGTGAAGTAATTAATTACAAAGCAACTGATGTGTATCTGTGGGTGGGTGTACATATCTGTGTATCTGTGTATATGCCTGTGCTCTGCCTGTTCTCTGCCTGTACTCGGCAAAGGGCCATACTCTCGTGTGCTTTGGGTTTTGGATTATGATGCATGATCATGTTGGTGCCTGCACGCACACCCGAACCGAAAACCCTTGAACACACACGCACACTGAAATAGATAGGTAACGTTACATGCCTCTCCATCTCTCTCATGCGTGCTCACTAACCAAAAAGTGAATTGATTTACACCTGTGGTGAGAGAACGGAGTGGATATGTCCAGGCCCCCAAATGCATTTCAGTAATTGCACAAAGAAACGAAAGATTTCACTATCTGTGGTCTGATGTGAGTGACGGATGGGAGACAATCTTTTCATATAATGTTACGACTTTTTTTGTGTTGTATGGAAAGGAAAAGGTAGAGCCTTAAATTCGGTAACATAAATATCAAATATGGTAATTATTCCCATATCAATTGCCGAACCCACAATGAATCTGTGTGTTCGTTTCGGTCCTAAAACCCAACCTCCTGGCCAAGGGTGTACCTAATTAGCACGACAACTCTAGGCGTTGTCTGCCAAGGGGCTAATTGTCTTTAGCGACCCGCCTGGGATGCCTGTCTATGAGCAATTCGATTTAAAATCGCGGCTCGGGGCTTGAAGGATATTTATGAAGGGCAAACACGTGATATGCCGGCGTAATGCCAAGCACAAAAAATACAATCGTCACAGCTTTGGAACGCTCGCGCCGAGGATGGAGTGGGGGGTGCATTTAAATTAATCACAGTAAAAGCGAATTGCCCAAAACAATGTAATATCCCGTGCAAGGTCCTTCGGGGACCGGCAGCGGCGCGACGGCGGCAAACAGAAATCTGTAAATGCGTGAGCGCTCGAGAGAATGTGGCCTCCAAACCGTGACGACGACCAAACCAAACCAAAGCCTGTCACTGTGTATGTGTATGTCTGTGTGGGTGCCAGAGTGTGTATGTGTGTGTGTGTGTGGGGGGGTGTGTGTAACCATGTGTGTATGTGTGCGTGCGGTTGCTCAAATTAAAACAAAGTGTCGTGCGTTTGATGAAAATGTAACGCATTTTGTGCTCCTGCGGCCCCTTGCCAACCAGCGTCGCACATAAATGCTAATTGGCTTAAATGTATTTTGGTGTGTGTGTGTGTATGCGTATCTGTGTTGGAATGTTGCTGTGTTGCTGTATGGGGTCCCCTTTTTTGGGGCAGAGGGATCTTTTTCTACAGGCATGCGGCGTCTGTCAGGTGTTCAAACTTAAACATTTTATAGTTTGGTTAATTGTCAAAGCAGCGACAAAGGCAGCCAAAAGTAAAAGGGTGCGCCGAACATTTGATGACTCAATTATTCGATGGTTTTTGCGGCAGACTTGGTGGTTACACTCCAGGCACTACTAGGCAGGCGGATGAGGGTGCGGGTGTTTGTGTGGGTGTGGGTCGGGTCTCAATTTTCAGTTCTTGAGATGGAGAAATGAAACCATTTAGGCAGCTGTCACACTGATTAGCATGACCGTTGCTTCGACGCTATACCAGAAATCCCCAGCACCCCAACCCCTACCCCCCTGTAAGACATCAACAGATAGAGAATTTCGAGTGGAATGGCACGGAAGGGAATGTAAAACGCTGAAGGAAATTGAAAACAAGTGAAATAAAGTGATTGGCCATAACATTTGCGCGTACGCGTGCATTTTCCATTCTACGAGTTTGGCTTTTCTATTTCCTTTCGCTTTTCTCTATTCCCCCCGCCCCATCGGTCTGGCTCTGGCTCTGAATCTACCACTGCCACTGCCTCTGTCTCTGCCCTTTTGTGTGCCCACAATTCTATGCTATTTTTATGTTTATCTGCCTTCACTCCATTACGACTTTATGCTCTTTAGCAGACAATCAACATTGTTGCTACCCCCTCAGGGGGTTGGCTGGTTGGTTGGAGGTTGGTTGGTTGGTGACTCGACACTGCCAGGCGGACAATGCCCGTGCGAAAAATGCAAATTGCGAGTAGGAATGAAAATGGTGTGGCGGGTAGGGCAAGTGGTAAGTGGAAATGAGGCGGCTGAGTGATGGAATGAATGAATGAATGAGTGATTGCTGCTGTGAGCCAGACATTTAGCGGAATTTGCTTTGATAAATAGCAAACGTTTGGCCTGGCTTAAAGTCGGATTCCCTCATATGCCATAATTTATGCAAATTAATTTATAAAGAACCAGAGAGCTAGAACTCGACGGAGGGAGAATCATTGTCGAGCCATCGTTGGACACGGAAATATTTCATGGAAGTGCGACAATTTTCGCGAAAAAGTACATAAATATAGTGCGCCTTGAAGTAGACTCATTTATATGGCTTTGTGCGTAATTTCACTCGCTGACATTTATGATGTATGGCCACCACACAGACACACACACATACAAACACACACACGCATCCATTTGCGTTTCCATAACGAATGATGACGGACTGACTGACTGACTGTCAGTGCCCCTTGCCCCCTTTTCGTAGACTAGCAGTCGTCGAGTTAGACTTATTGTCTAACAGACATTCGTGTCACAGTGTGAATGTGCCAACACTTTCTGGGCATCTAGTAAGCAGCCACATAAAATTCACAATATGTCTACATAAACTGAGGCCATTCCAAAGCATTCGCAACAAATTCTCATTAAAGTCCGATAAGTAGCAGTAATTTCAAGCAAAAAAAAAAATGTCTGACAAACCTAAGGCAAAGCCCGTGGCCAGCAAGGGCGGCCGGGTTGTCACCAAGGAGAACAAGCCTGTGGTTAAGCCACAGCCAGTGGTACGCACCCCAACAACCCGTACGAATCAACATGATCGGGTAAGGATTGCACCAGCTTGGCATATATATATTTCCGAGCTTAACCACAGAATCGTTGTAGATTTGGAAGATCATGAAAATGTAATCATGACAGCCATTCGACTTCTTTGTTGGTATATGCACCAATTAACATGATCGGGTAAGGACTTCAATGGGTTTTAGAGCTTATTTTTGATCTAAACAGCTTACATATACTCTGCAGATTTAGAAAATCATGAAAATCCAACCATGATGGCTGCAATTCGACCTCTTAATTGGTATACGCAACAATCCACATTATCAGGTAAGAATTTCAATGGGTTTGAGGGGTATTTTTGATCTTACCAATAAGCTATATTCTCTGCAGATTTAATAAATCATGGACACAATAACAACAATAATTCGACCAGTTACAATAGTCGGTGCGTATCCCACATATAAAAATAAATTTCAAATTACTAATCATTTTGTTTTTGCAGGCACAGCTACCCCCCGAACACCACACCACCACGATGTTCTCTTTTAAATTTTTATCTTAGCCTATTTATTCTGAAATAATTTAAAATAAAAGTCCCGGTTTGGTTACTGCTGGGCGCTGGGCGCTGAATAAAGCGAAAATGTCCCAGCACAAAAAAAAACTCTTATAATTCCCTGTGGGTTGACTGGAAAGCGGGCAAAGCGCAAGCGCTGTCCTTGAAGAGAACGGCGGGACTTTTGAGTTGGTGGGCCATTTTCTCTTTACAACTTGACTATGTGGCTCACTGTGTCAGAAGGTAAATTGGTGGTAAATATTACGATTGTAAAGCGGATGTACTGTTCAAACAAGAAAATCCCAGATGATCACAGTAAATTTATACATATATAAGCCACCTCAGTTCCAGCAAAAAAAAATGTTGTTTGTTGATAAACGAAAGGCCGCAAGGTCTAAAATTATAGAGAAATATTTAAGATATAGAACATGCGAACTCTTTCTTTGCTTAAGATTCTTTCTGAGTGGCCAAATTGCAACATTGTTTCGCCTGCAACCCCAGCATCCAGAAAATAAGAAAACGGAGCAAAGGCCAAAAGGGAAAAGTGATTGGGATAGGCCCACTTCTCCAGTGCCCAAGCACTCTCTGAAGCATTTTTCAAGTCAATGCAATTTAAACCAAAACAAACTCAAAGTCTCCAGCCTGCCACATGTATGTGTGTGTCGTAGCTCGAGCTCGTACAATTTTACTTTCATTCGTAATTGAGTGAAAACGATGCGGCCGAAGATGATGACGATGAGTCCACGAGCAGAAATATCCCTGCGACGACGACGAGCTGGCATCGACCGAGAGCCCATAGGATATTTTGGTACTCGTGCCAGTTTTTGTTAATGCCGTTGCTCAGTTTCGTATTCGTGTCGGAACGTGGCGCTACGGTCTGCTCAAGGATACGCGGCAAGCAAACCAAGCAACGGAACGTGGGACCCCCAGAAAAGCACAACTGCCCAGCGTGTGCGATTGTGTGTGAGAGTGTGTGTGTGTGTGCGTGTGCGTAATTGTGAGCGGGTCGGATCGTGTGTGCCGCCGTTTGGTCCTGGCCGTTTAATTTTATTAGCGTGCCGCGATGCGTCATGGAATTGGCAGACAAAAACGCACAAAAATACAATAAATGAAAAATTAAATATTAATTTAATTTTGCATACGAATATCCAGAAACCAAATGCAACGATTGCGCGAGAAGTGTTGTTTTGTCGGTAATTGTTGTTTGCTTCTCGACTGAAATGTTAAATAGATATTAAAAATTGATGCACTCCAACAAATTTCGGCTACAGAGCTGCTGGTGCGGTCAGGCGAGGCCTGAGTACAGCCGGGATAAGTCAGGCTTACCCTCTATCCCTTAAACGATATTTGCCATCGTCTGAGTGCCACTCAGATCGGCAGACTGGCATCTTCGCCATCATCATTCCGGGTGTGCGTGTATATGACTTTATTAAAATTTAAAATCCCCCATCGCTGCTGACATCGAAAGTACATACTCGTGCAACGCGCGTGTTCAACTTGCCGTTTTTACACATTGTTTGTGGACTTTCATAAATATATATCGCCTCGCCTTGCGCTGGTGCTCGTTCCAGATTTCATACTCGTTTGTTGTGCTTATCGCGATTACTGCACGGTTCTCGAACAAAGTCCCAAAGAGTATTACCACCTACATACATCAGCTCCACAGCTCCACAGCTGCAACGTGCCGCGTCCGCCAACTTCTCCGACAAGTGCGTATGAAAATGCAATTTAATTAAGTATTTTGTTCTGCATATGACAAATCCAAGCTTAACACAGGGGAAACGACTTCAATTAATAATACGCCCTGCTCCCTTTCTCTTGCTGTGTTTCCCATTTGGTAATCTTTAATTTTTTATCGCCTTGTAGTCAATTAAAATGCAGTTCTCGTGTGCCATACGTGAAATTAATTCTGCTTTCTGCAGTTAATTGCATTTAACTGGCAGTTAATTGCTTTGATCCAAACAAACTTCCCACGGCACTGTCTATCCTCATATAGGGCTCTATCACCAGATGGTATACGGGTTGGCTTCACTTTGAATGCAAAATGCTGATAGTCAATCGGAAAGATTTGAAAATAAGTAAATTAAAAAGGTTTGACATTTTCTTTTGATTCATTGAAATATATAAATTGGGAGCTCACGGTGCATCTTTACGATTGCATTTATTTCTGGTAAAAAGAAACTTCAGTAACGGCAAATGTATCTGATAGGATTTCGATGTTTGCAAAGTATTTCATGCTTTGGCTCTTTTTGTGTTGGTAAAAATCTCTAAAGTATACGAGTATGAAGAAGTCTTTACCAGACGTAAGAGAAGTATGAACATATTTCGAGATTTTGACCAGCATTTGACCGAAATTTATGGCATCATATTCGTTTTTTCGTGCATAAAAGCTCCTTACATCAAGCCAGAGCATTTTTGCAAAAATCCAGGCCTACGCTCAGCTACACAGACAGCCATAGAGGGAGACAGGCAGACAGACAGAGAGTCAGCAAGTGGGCTTATTTATAAGAGCCTGGGGAAAGCACTTTGGCCAGACAGTTGGGATCTGCACTTACCTATTGCGGCCGCTGCACGTTTTATAATATTTATGCATGTCCTAGCCAGGAGGACCAGTGCACTCCTGAAGAGAAGCTACAGCCAGCAGCTGGAATGGGCTGAAGAGGGATTGGATACAAAACCAAAAAAAAAAAAGGCAGCAGCAGTCACCAAGGCTTTTGGAGTGTGTGTGTAGAGCACACATCGTAGGGCACTCTGACATTGCCAAAAGTAACACTCCAGACTGAAGTGGGGCACAGTACAGCATTCGGAACGATGCATATCCGAGTGCCAGAGCTGGTAGGCGCATCAGAAAATTACATTTAAAATATTTTACTTGGCAGGGGTTAACGTAAATACATAGACATCTAAGCAAACAGGAAAAACAGAAAATGGGCAACAAAAAGGCACTGCCAGTGGCAGTGGCAGTGGCACAGGGAGAATGGCAGACGGAGTGGGAGTGGCACAGGCAACAGATGCCACAACAACAGAATTAACAAAAATAAAAACACGACAAGCAAAAACAAGTGCAACCAGAACACGCACCAAATGGTTGAGTTGAGCCGAGTTCAGATGAGATGAGATGGAATTAAATGTGAATGTTTTACAGGCGAAACGGAGACAGACCCAGACGCAGACCCATATCCGGAGCAAGCTCCGAATTCGGGCACTGCCTGTTTGCATGTTTACAGAAGCTCAACATTTTTGACAGTGGCATCATCACACGAAGAACAGAGTGTGCTCAGGGCTCAGGGCTCTGGACTCATGTGGAGATTTGAGGTGGGCAGTGCAAGGAGAGCAGTTGCAAAGATTGATCCATGGCAACCTCGTAAAAAAAAGTCTTCCTCCAAGCGGTTTCCTTGGTCCAGAACAGACCAGAATGTCCATGGCTTTTGCGTTGAACTATAGCAGAGAGCGAACTCGTTTGTTTTGCTTATTCCCCATTTGTTGCTTGCTTACAGCTGTCCAGATTTATTACTAGCCAAAGGAAAAGAGCCGAAAACAAATCGGTAAACTTTTGCAGCAACTTTCACGTATTTCCCTGTGCATGCTCTCAGCTTTTTCCATGTTCCTGGTTGCTGGTTCCTGGTTCTGAGTGGCCTTTTGTCATAAAGCTTTAACACATAAAAATGTTATTGTCCGATATGGAGTTGTGTAGCTTATGCTGATTTGTGTTGACCTAGTAAACTTGCACAGTTGAGCCAAAAGAGAGACTGAAAGAATTGTAGAAGTTTTATGGCTCTAAGGCTGATTTAGGAATGGCCATTGAAAGCTTTAAAGGTCTCTGAAGTGCAGTGATGTGAGTGCGGAAAGGCGTTCTGTTCTGTATCATGACCGGAATTATGGGGTACCCCATAACATTTCTGGCTTAAATGGAGTGATGCCTCCTGCTATCAGTTGGCCAATAAATTTCGTTGGTTTAAAGTTCAAGTTTGTGAATCCGATTCCGCTTCATTCCCTGCAATGCTTAACAATAAATTCCATTCCAAACTCGCGTTATAATTCCCATATGATAATATTACAGTTCTTTTAATGCCATCACCAAATAGCCGCCACTTAACCTTATCGGGTGAAGGAGTTGACCTGTAATTGCAGCCCTTCAACATTTAACTCCGAATGAGTCCCGTGAAACTATTTTAAGCGCTTCCACTCTCATCGAGTATTACACTTGACATGGCCAGCCACACAGTGGCCGACCAAAGCTGACGCACACCCACATAAACACGCAGAGTACACCCAGAGTTTGCGCAAAGTTTTAACTCTTATCTGTTGTCTATCAGGAAATTTTATGCGATTTTGTTTACCTATTTTAATGAGAACCGAAAAATGCTCGCACCCAGCGTGCAGCGCGGGGAGAGTGGAGCGCGATGAACGAGAGAAAGGAGGACTCAAAAATACACAAGCTGGTGGGAAAATGCCCGCCCTGGCGAAAAACCAGGTCAAAGCAAACAGAATGAAAGAGACGAAAATTTATGCAAAACTCAAAAAACAAAGCAAAACAAAGGCAGCAAAAAACGCACGAAAAGTCCGTTGCAAGAGGCCGGGTCCGAAATGAAAGTGCGAATGTGTTGGTAGCAAGTATGTGTGCTGTGTGTGTGTGTTTGTACGTGTGTAGAAATGGCGTGTATTGTATCAAATTTAAATGCACAACAGTAAAATAATGAATTCTTTTGTTTGTATTTGCATTTTGTTTGTTGTTGTTGACGGGCGCGTTGGTAGAACCAAACCAAACCGATTCTAACCAAAACACTGAAAAACAAGAAGGTGGAAGCCTACACTCAGGTGCCGAACCAATAGATACCCTAGCAGGTGCTTGTCAAATTGACTTCAATATGATAAAATAATCCAGAATTGATTTTATTATGAAGCAATATATTTATGGAAATGTAATTGCTGAACTTGAGTGCGGAATTATAGGGCTATAAAAAAACATACAAAACTAAAAGAACTTTCTTTCATTTTTTTGGATTTTCTTTAGACCTAATTAGGCATTGTTTTCCAAATAAAATGAATGAATATGAAATCGATTGGTTGAATTATCCTAAAAATATATCCAAAGATACCA